AAAAGCATGTGAGTACCTATCTTAGTTAACATATGATACTTCTTTTGTTTTTTAGGGTTTGTGGGTTTGCTTAACAACTCTGACTTACATGGTTTCTTAGTCATCAGGTGTAACACTGAAGTGCTGTTAGCTTTATTTTATTTAATTTTTCAGGCTTCAACTTTTTAAAAAAATTATTTATTTATTTTGAGAGAGAGAGTGGACATGAGTGGGAGAGAGACAGAGAGAGAGAGAGAGAGAGAGAGAGAGAGAGAATCCCAAGCACGCTCTGTGCTGTCAGTGAGGAGCCTGATGTAGGGCTAGAACTCATGAACCGTGAGATCATGACCTGAGCCACAGTCAAGAGTTGGGCGCTTAACCGACTGAGCCACCGAGGCACCCCCAGGTTTCAACTTTTTAATCAGTTCTGCAAAGGATATCCTTAATGCTAGATAAAAAATAACAGAATATTTCTTTCTTCCAGTATTAAAAAAAATGACATTCACAGATGTCATTTTTTAAGAAACTTTTATGTAGTCAGGGTGGTGACCTTGAATTAAAAAAAACAAAAAACCTGTAATCACGTTCTTGATTTCTTGTATTTGTGTTGGAAATTGCTTCCTAGTCATGATAAACATTGTGTACAGGCTTTTAAAAGGTCTCGAAGTGCACATTATTATCTTTTTTTTTTTAAACATTCTGGCCAAACATTTTTTATTTTTATTTTTGCCAGAACCAGTAATCCTGAGATCCCAAACTAAAAAAGTGGTAAAAGGAAAAATACTCAGATAATGTCCCAGGATTTGTCTTTAAATGGGGGAAAATTTTTAAAAAACACATAGAGCTTTCTAAAAGGTCTTTAACAAGCTACCTTGGGAGCTCAGTTTAAAAATAGAAGTTGATGCACTAACACAGATGTTGCAGTGTAGCTCCAAAATCTTTATAAATACAGCCATTTGGAAGGATGATCCTGGATCAGAAGTTTTATTCCTTGTGAATTAGGTGCACGTCTCATCTCGGTGGTCAGAATTGTCTGTCATTTCCTCCTGAGTAGCGGTCATAACTGTCCTGGCTTCTGCCACCATAGTCTCTGGGCCTTCCATATCCATATCCGTATCCTCCAGGCCAGCTGTCATATCTGCCACTCCCATAGCCCTGGTCCCCACCACCTCTAAAGTAGCTGCAACTACGCCCATGGGCCCCAAAGGCACCACCTCTAGTCCTCTGGCTAACTTGCCCAGGTGATCCACACAGATCTGGCGACCATCCAGAGACACTCCATTCTTGGCTCTCATGGCATCTGAGGCATGCTCTGGATTGGTGAAGGTGATGAAATCAAAACCCCAGGATCGTTGAATCTCATGGTCCTTGACAAAGACCTCCTCAGAAATAGGACCTAGGCTACTGCAGTGGTCTTCCAGAGTCTGCTCATCAGGGTTGAAGTTGAACCCTCCCACAAAAAGCATCTCTTGTTCAGAAGACGTGGCGGTGAGTTCAAGTGCTCTAAATTAAGCAAAAGGACCAGAAGAACAGCTACCGTTGAGGAGCAGAGAGACTGGGCTGTTAGCTTTGAATAGGACTCAGAGTTTTATTTATTTATTTTATTTTAATTTTTTAAAATGTTTATTTATTTTGGAGAGAGAGAAAGACAGGGTATGAGCATGGGAGACACAGAACCTGAAACAGGCTCCAGGCTCCGAGCTGTCAGCACAGAGCCCAACGCAGAGCTCGAACCCACCAACCGTGAGATTATGACCTGAGCTGAAGTCGGACGCTTAACCGACTGAGCCACCCAGGTGCCCAGGACTCGGAATTTTAATATGAACAAAGGGAGTCAGACCAGTCTGTAATCAAATTAAGTTGGTTGCTTAGCATTTAGAATAGTGATTATAAAGCTAATCTGTTTCTGCAATCTTTATTTTAGGCCGGTTAAGATATTTGCCCTTAGTAAGAGGAACTTTTTTTAGTAGACTACCTTTTGGAGCAATTTTAGGTTCATAGTGAAATGAAAGGAAAAATACAGACAGCTCCCATATACCTCCCCCCCGAACATGATAATGGCTCCCATTATCAACACCCCCCCCCCAACACACACACCAGGGTGGAACATTTGTTATCATCAGTGAACCTATACTGACCCCCCCCATCATTATTACCCAAAGTCTATAGTTTGGGTAATAGTTTCCATTAGAGTTCACTCTTGGTATTGTATATTCTATGGGTTTTGACAAATGTATAATGATATGTATTCACCGTTATAGTATCATTTAGAGAAGTTTCACTGCCTTCAGAATCCTCTGTGCTCTATTAACTCCTCTCTCCCTTAATCCCTGACAACCACTGATCTTTTTACTGTCATCATAGTTTTGCCTTCTCCAGAACATCATATATTTGGAATCATGTAGTATGTAGCCCTTTCAGATTGGGTTCTCTCAAGTAAAAGAAAAATTTTAACCTCTAAATTCTGTTTGCCTAGGGGTACCTGGTGGCTCAGTCAGTTGAGCGTCTGACTCCTGATTTGGGCTCAGGTCATGATCTCAGTTTATGGGATGAACCCTGCGTCATCAACGCAGAGACTGCTTGGGATTCTCTCTCTCTCTCTCTCTCTGTCTCTGCTCCTATCCTGCTTGTGTGTGCATGTGCTCATTCTCTCTTTCAAAAAAAAAAAATTTAAATTCTGCTTGTCTAGAAAAAATATATCTCAGTAGCTTGCCCTCTTGAACTCAATATGCAGTTTCCTTCAAGCAGCTGGGAGACAGGAAGGGAAATTGTGCCCCACAAACCAGACCATCAGCCAGTTCCAAGGCTTAGCAGGCTGACATGTTGCAACTGCATTAGCCTTCACACCTTCCTTCTCATGATATTTTTAACTGTATTGGACTAAGTCCACAGTGTAGAGTTATAAATAAGGCTGGGTGGAGACACGTGGACAAGCTAGTGATTAGGTACCTCTTCAAACCTGTGTCCTTAAATATTTATTCCATGCCTATTCATTGGAGAGGCTGAGTCGTGTGTGTGCGTGTGTGTGGGAAGACAGAAAAGGAAGCAAGTTGCCTGGGCCTGGCACACCCCATTTAGCAGGATAAAACTTACTGTTAATCAGTCCTTAAAAATCAGTTTGGTGATTATCGGTTGTTATTAAATCTCATCAACTACACCCTCCCCTAGTAGCTTATTAAAATATTTCTTCCAGTTAGGAGCAACTTCTCACAGAAACCGTTCTTTCTATCTTGATATACACCCTGCCATTTTGTAGTACGTCTTACAGATTTGTGCTCCGAGCAAGTGCCCAGCTGACCATTGCTAGCGCAACTTGTCATCCGTGGAAGTTAGGCAAAGTAGGCTTTTCTTTCTCTGTCTGGAGTTGCAGTGCAACTTGGCCCTGTCCCAGTTAGAGAAGACTGAACTGTTTCCATCTATGTAGCTGTGATGTTGATCACAGAAAGATGACTGAAAAGCTTCACTCAGCACTTTCTTTTCTGCCTCCTTATCTGGGAGGTAAAGGGTGGGAAATGGGTAGGAGAAGAAAGACCCAAGTATTATGAAAGGAAGGATGTGGGGCTGGACACTGAGTCAGAACAACATCTCTGAACAGCTAGTAGGCCAGTTGCCTAGGGCAGAGAAATGGGCAACCATATTCAGTAAAGCCCTGGACACTATTTTAGGCCTTATGGGTCAAATGGCTTCTGTCATGCCCACTCAACTTGGCAATTTTTAAATTTTTAAAAATGTTTATTTCTAATGTTTGCTTATTTTTTAGAGAGAGAGGCAGAGTGTGAGTGGGGGAGGGGCAGAGAGAGAGGGAGACACAGAATCCCAAGCAGGCTCTAGGCCCTGAGCTGTTGACACAGCGCCTGCTGTGGGTCTTGAACTCAAGAACTGTGAGATCATGGCCAGAGCCAAGGTCGGATGCTCAACTGACTGAGCCACCCACGCGCCCTCACCTCTGTTATTGTAGCATGAAAGCTGCCATATACGATTTGTAAAGGAATGGGCATGTTTGTGCTCCAGTAAAACTTTATTTATTGACATGTCCATTCTCAGCTCCCTGGCCAGACAAAAACAGGCAGTGAGCTGCATTTGGCCCGTGGGTTGCAATTCGCTGATCTTGTCTAGGAAAATACAGGCCGAAGTTTGTCAGTTTGACAGTGTCTGGGCTGCCTGTGTATTCTCTGTAGAGATCCTTTCTCTGCTCACTTAGCAAAGCTTGGTGGAAAGTAACTTTGGAAATGCTGGGTGAATCCAAGGAGTGGGAGTTTTGCTGAGGTTTGGGTCGTAGAGGAGAAGCATTCCCCCTAGAGGCCAGCTGGGGTAGTGGCAGGAGTGAGCACAGCGAGGAGGGCCGGGCTGGGAGGACTAAGGGCCTCACACCGGAAGTGCGGACTCTCACGCTCTGCTAATACCTCGGGGGTTCTGTGTTTGGTTTAAACAGAGGCAGCCAGCCTTAATCTCCACACATGTGCTTATTGATAATGAAGTTATATTATTTCTATCTCAAAGAACTTTCGTTGAGGTATTTTGTTGGACTTAAAAAAACAAACATTTTTTGGGGTGCCTGGGTGGCTCAGTCCGTTGAGCGTCTGGCTTCCGCTCAGGTCATGATCTCACGGTTCGTGGGTTCAAGCCCCGCGTCGGGATCTGTGCTGACTGCCAGCTCAGAGCCTGGAACCTGCTTCAGATTCTGCTCTCTCTCTCTGACCCTCCCCTGCTCACATTGTCTGTCTGTCTGTCTGTCTGTCTGTCTCAGAAATGAATAAAATATTTAAAAAAATGTTTAAAAAAACAACCACCATTTTTTAGTTATGTGAATGCTGTTAACTTTGTTGGAAGGGTAATGGTCTCTTAAATGGATGGAGCTTTTAACCTTGAGGATGAGATGTGCCTGCATATGAAATGCTTGTACTCCTAGGCCAAGAATTCATTAACTGTTAGGTGACAGATAGCTATGGTTAATAATTTATTTCATGTTTATTTAGTTTCTTTTTGCACATTTAATCATCTGCCATGATTTTGATCAACAGGATCCTTACTACAGGTTTAATGACCTTAAGTACAGATGGATCTCCCTGGATAACTGGACCTATAGCAAGAAATTTAAAATCCCCTTTAACATTAGGTACGTATGTGTGTATGTCTATATCTACATCTGTATTTATTTAGTTATTATTATTGAGCTTTTCTTCTTTCTGTCTCTGCAATAATCTTTTGTTTGTTTAAGCTTCATATCAGAGAGCTGTCACACTAAAGCGTTGTCCTATAAAAGTGACTATATAATTTGTGTTTTGATTTGTATATAATGGTGCTACTGACTGTTAGTTGTGAAATTATGTCTTATTCATTCGTTTCCCCAATGGTTTTAATGGAGTCACCTATACCTAGTGAATTCTCTTATTTGCATTTCCTTCTATCTGCACCTTCCCCTCCCTATAATCAACAGAATGTGTGTATTTATAATTTGTCAAGTAGGATCAGAGATCCATCATTTATTCCACGTGGTGTTAACCAGCCATCGAGGCCTTGGCATTGGCCTTACATTATGTTGTGAAGCTATGAGGAAAAACATAGTATAGTTTCAGTAATGTTCCATGTAGCAGAATGTAACCCAGTTATATCTACCACAATCATTACTAAATTAAAAAAATCCTCTGTCCCTTTTGTATGACTTTTATTTTGGGTAATTATTTAATAGCCTCTTAAAAAAGAAAGAAAACCAGAATATGGTGCTAAACATGACAACATTGCTGTGCTCCATCTTCATATTTCCAGATAATACTTAAAATATCTCTGTTAAGAGTCCTCTTTCATTTGAACTCAACATTTCCAAAATGTAAGCAATTGACTTTCCCACTTAAAGCTTACTTTATATTGTAACAGTCTCATTGTTTCTCTTAATGTGACACCATTTTTCTGATTTTCTATGCCCAAGGTGTTTTTGGCTTACAATATCTTTTCTGCATCTCTGTATTCAGTCTTTTTCTGAGTTCTGTTAATTTCTGCCTACCATTTTTCTCAATTTCTATTTCTCTATTTATTTATTTTGATAGAGACAGAGACCCCATGAGTGGGGGAGGGGCAGAGAGAAAGAGAGACAGAGAGCCCCAAGCAGCGCTGACAGTGCAGAGCCCGTCCTGGGACTTAAATCCACGAAACCATTCTATTATGACCTGAGCTGAAACCAAGAGTCAGATGCTTAACTGACAGACCCACCCAGGCACCCCATCTTTTAAAAAGATTTTATTTTAGAGACAGAGAGTGAAGGGGGGAGAAGGGCCTAGAGAGAATTTTAAGCAGGGTCCAGGCTCAGCATAGAGCCTGACTTGGGGCTCTATGCCACAACCCTGGCTTGGATCATGACCTGAGCCAAGATCAAAGTCAGATGCTCAACTGACTGAGCCACCCAGGTGTCCCTCGTTTTTCTTGATCCAGTCCCTTTCTCCTCATTTTCCAGTTGCCACTTTTTTTTTTTTAACGTTTTATTTATTTCTGAGAGAGAGAGACAGCGTGAGCAGGGTAGGGTCAGAGAGAGAGGGAGACACAGAATCCGAAGACAGGCCCCAGGCTCTGAGCTAGCTGTCAGCACAGAGCCCAACGCGGGGCTCAAACCCATGAAAGGTGAGATCATGACCTGAGCCGAAGTCGGCCACCCAACCAACGGAGCCACCCAGGTGCCCCACCTGTCGACACTTTTGCCTAGGCTTTTGTTAGTGAGTGCCTGTAATTAGGCCAGAGCTGCATAACTAAATTTCTTCCTTTGTCTTTTTATTCTACAGTCTTGTATATAGAAACATTGAACTCATCTTCCCAAAGTATTGGTTTTACCCATGACATTCTTGCTCAAGAATGAGTGTCTTCCTTTTAATTGGCAAAGCCAGTTTAATCTTACCTGCTTGTGTGCAAAAATACTGTTTAATGTTACCTATTCCTGTTCCACTTCCTGTGTCCTGTCCTGCCCTGACTTGACCAGATTTCTCCCTTTAGCTCTCTAGCACAACTCCTGCACCTGAATGTAGCATGTTATCTTAATGTTGTTGCCGTTTGCACCTCCTTGTTTTGAGTTTGCTCTTCCTCGGGGGTCTACCCTTTACCTAGACATTTCTACTCATTAGAAAAAAAAAATGAACAGCTTTATTGAGACCTAATTCACATACTATACATTCACCCTCCCCCCCTTTTTAAAAATGTTTGTTTATTTTTGAGAGAGACAGAGACAGAGTATGAGCAGGGGAGGGGCAAAGAGAGAAGGAGACACAGAATCTGAAGCAGGCTCCAAGCTGTCAGCACAGAGCCCGATGCTGGGCTCGAAATCATGAACTGCAAGATGATGACCTGAGCTGAAGTCGGAAACCTAACCGACTGAGCCACCCAGGTACCCCTGCATTCACCCTTTTAAAGTATACAATTCAGGGGCGCCTGGGTGGCTCAGTTGGTTAGGTGTCTGGTTTCAGCTGAGGTCACGATCTCACGGTTCACTAGTTTGAGCCCCACGACGGACTCACTCCATGCTGATAGCTCAGAGCCGCCTGCTTTGAATTCTGTGTCTTTCCCTCTCTTTCTGCCCCTCCCGCACTTGTGCTCTCTCTTCCTCTCAAAAATAAATAAACTTTTTAAAAAAGTACACAATTTAGTAGTTTTTAGTATATTCAAAGAGTTGTGCCACCATCGATGACTGTAATTAATCAGTGTTACAGTTTTCCTCTCCTCAAAGAGAATGCCATACCCGTTAGCAGTTATTACCCCTTCTCAACATCCTCATTCCCTCATACCTATGCCAGCACTAGGCAGCTGCCAGTTTATTTTCTATGAATTTATCTCTTCTGGAAATCACATATAAATGGAATAATACAATATGTGGTCCTTTGTGACTGGCTTTTTTTCACTTAGCATAATAATGTTTTCAAAGTTCATCCATGTTGTCACATTCACCAGTACTTTATTTCTTTTTCTTTTTTTTGCTAAATAATATTTCATTGCATGAATATACTAGATTTTGTTTATCCTGCTCTTCAAGTTCTTGTTTCTTTCTTGAAGTCTTTCCTTATGACATAAGCTCTGATAGCACCTGTAGTCTGTCCAACAAGACTGTACTATCAACTAGAAGAGATTGTAAGTTTGCTCTTTGTTTCCTGTGTTTTTGACTTGAATGACAACTGAATTGCAGATTCCTTAAACTCGGAGAGTGTTTTAGTTCCCTGTAAAGCTTAGCAGAGTACAGAGCCCATAACAGTTACTCATAGATACTTGTTGGTTAATGTATTCTCTTAGGCAGTGTCAGAAATGTGATAGTCTGCGAAAATGTTTTTTTTTAATGTTTATTTTTGAAAGCTAGAGAGCACAAGTGGGGAGGGGCAGAGAGAGAGGGAGACAGAATCCCAAGCAGGCTCCACGTTGTTAGCACAGAGCCTGATGGGGGATTTGAACCCATGGACCTCGAGATCATGACCTGAGTAGAAATCAAGGGTTGGACACTTAACCGACTGAGCCACTCAGGTGCTCTTGTGAAAAATATTTTATGTCTACTATTTAACTTGATTCTCATAAGTAATTTGTGAAGTCCTAAAAAAAGTCAATCCATTTGGAAATTACAAGCTGATTTCATAAAGCAATTGAAATATTATGAAGAAAGATAAGCCAGAGCACTCAACATAAAAATGTATTAAACCAATAGTAATGAAAATGTGATTCCAAATTGCCTTTTAACAATGTGTATTTTCAGGAGTGTCTAGGTGGCTCAGTGGATTAAATGTCCGACTTCGGCTCCTGTCATGATCTCATGGTTTGTGAGTTCAAGCCCTGTGTCGGGCCCTGTGCTGACAGCTCAGAGCCAGGAGCCTGCTTCAGATTCTGTGTCTTGCTCGCTCTCTCTGTTCCTCCCCTGCTCTTCCTCTCTTTCTCTCAAAAATAAACATTAAAAATATTTTAGAAAAGAATGTTTATTTTTTGTGAAATATTTATTCCTTTCATTTTAACTAATAAAAAAAGATTTATCTAAGCCAATGTTTTACACATCTTGTTTTAACATTTTTTCTTTCTTTTTTTTTTTTAGCAAATGGCAAAAAGTAAATCTGATTTTTGATGGTGTCGATACAGTTGCAGAAATCCTGCTGAATAGTGTTCCTATTGGGAAAACAGACAACATGTTCAAAAGATATGTAAGTATACAAGTCAAGTTAAAAGAAAACTCTTTGTATGTGTTTGTGTGTTAACTGTTGTGTAGAGAAAGGTAAGCAATTGCCCATGGAGGCAGGTATAAGCTCTTTGAAGCACTGGGTAAATTACTTTCTCATTTGCCACATTGTAGAATGATGAAAACACCACTGACCCTATAGGGTTGTGAAGATTTAATAAGCTAAGTATGTAAAATGATTGACACAGTTCTTGGCATGTGAGAAGGGTTCAACAAATGCTGTTCTCTTTTCTGTTATTTGGTGATTATTCTCAAGAGTTTCATGAGAAATGACAGTTGACAAACTATTAAAAAAGAAAATGTTCCTTCCTTTCTGGAATGCTTACATTAAGATATCATGTCCTCATCTCCCTGCAAGGGTCAACTTTTCAAAACAAAAATAACTTATGAGTTAGAAATACATGCTGTTCATACCAGAGAGGCAGGTTGTCCTGAGGCATCTAGGAAATCCTTGGCAGTTCAAGGCCATATGTAAATGGCCAGAATAGACATTCCAGGGCTAAAGATATTTTCTGCTTGTTCTCTTTGTCTAGGACCATCATCTGTCAGTAAAAATAGAAGGAGAAACCTAGAAATCTACTTTTGGGTAGGAGAGTGTGCTCAGTTGTAACTATAAGCAAGCAACTAAGTTATTCTATTTCAGTAAGGGGCTTTCTTCTGCAAAAAGGCTAACCCTAAAGATTTCAATTATTTTGTGCATCTTTCATACATTTTTATGTATCTGTATCTATTTCTAAAATGTTACACAAGAGCCTACTTCCACATCTGTTCTTTCCTTTAATGCAGAGCTTTGATATTACCACTGTGGTTAGAAATGTGAACTCCCTTGAGCTGCGTTTCCAGTCACCAGTGTTGTATGCAACGCAGCAGAGCAAAGCTCACACGAGCTACGGGGTGCCTCCAGACTGCCCTCCGCCTGTGCAGAAGGGCCAGTGCCATGTCAACTTCATTCGAAAGGTAAAGGTCTTGCCAGTGGATGGAGCTTTAGTCTTGATGAGGGGAGGTGCTGGCATGGGAAGTACTTGTTTGAAGACACCAGTGGTATTTCAGAAGTTGGGCATCTCTTTCCTGTCTGCTTCATGGGATGGAGAACTTGACACCAGAACCAGAAGATACATGAATTTTTGTGGAGAATCTCTGTGTTCCTAGGTTTCCATCCTGAAGCATGCTTCAGAACTTAGGTAACAACAGAAAAAGAAGAAAGATAGGTGACTGATGATATAAGCTTACAAATTATTTTTTTTCCTTTCATAGTTTATTGTCAAGTTGGTTTTCGTATAACACCCAGTGCTCATTCCCACAAGTGCCCTCCCCCATGCCCATCACCCCCCTTCCCCTCTCCACCACCCCCATCAGCCCTCAGTTTGTTCTTGGTATTCAAGAGTCTCTCATGGTTTGCCTGCAAATTATTTTTTTAACATTTAGGTTTATCAAACTTTTCACCAGACCGTAAGGTTCATATTTATTAGTGACTCTTGTTACTAGGAAGCCTTCTGCAAATATTAATATTGCTGATATGTTCTCACGTTTTAGTGCTAGATTCTCAAAAAAAATCTAACAAAAATGACAAAATCCACAAGGTGATTATTTTTTCTTTGAGTTTCATCTGAGTTTAAATGACTTGAGTTTATTCCAATATGTTAGTTGGATTTTCTTTGCTGCATTTAGTTTTAGTTTAGTTTTTTTTTTTTTTTTTTTTTTACAGTTTATTTATTTTGAGAAAGAGACAGCACAAGTGGGGAAGGGGCAGAGAGAGGGAGAGAGAGAATCTCAAGCAGGCTCTGCACTGCCAGTGCTGACGCAGGGCTCGAACTCTTGAACCGTGAGACCGTGAGCTGAGCCGAAACCAAGAGTCGGACGCTGAACCAACGGAGCCCCCAAGGTGTCCTGTGGCATTTAGTTTTTAATTTTATTTTTATTTTAAAAAATTTTAATTATGGTAAAATACCTACAACACAGAATTTTCTACCTTAACCATTTTTAAGTGTGTAGTTCTCTAGTGTTAAGTGTATTCACATTGCTGTGGAATCCATCTCAAGAACTGTTTCATGTGGCAAAACTGGAACTCTGTACCCAGTAAAAACAACTTCCTATTTTCCCTTCCAGCCGGCCTCTGGAAACCACCAGAGCCGTTCTTTCTGTCTCTGTGAGTTTCACTACACATATAAGTGGAAACATACTTGTTATATTTGTCACACAAATCCTATTTGTCTTGTTATGCCTGGCTTATTTCACTTAGTGTGGGGTCCTTCACATTCTAGCATGTGTCTGAATTTCCTTCCTTTTTAAGTCTGAATAATATTCCACTGTATGTACATGCCACATTCTGTTCATTCTTTCATCTGGCAGTGGACATTTGGCTTGCTTCTAGCTTCTGGCTGTTGTGACTGATGCTGCTGTGTGTGGATGTACGAATATCTCTTTGAGACCCTGCTTTCAGTTCTTTTGCATGTATCGCAAGAAGTGGGATACTGGAGTATATGGTAATTCTATTTTTAACTCTTTTAGAGATTGGCATTTAGCTTTAACAACAAATATAATCATTGGTTTCATTGTGAAGATAGCTAAAACCTCAGTTGATAAATTCTGATTATTTAAGTTAGGTCTCTTTTTTCAGGCTGGATGGATTTATCATTAAGTTATGTTTCCATAATATAAATACTAAGGTCAAAATTATCCCCCTCTTATTTAACTCAATCTAGCTAAAACTGTGTCAGTATCCTAATATAAGCATTTGCTCCTGTTACTAGAAAGGAATCATCTGTAACTGAGCACTCAGGTATTCTATGGAATACTATGTACTTATACTTCTATTTATTTTTATGTTTATTTAATTTATTTTTTTAATTTACATTCAAGATAGCATATAGTGCAACAGTGATTTCAGAAGTAGATTCCTTAATGCCCCTTACCCATTTAGCCCATCCCCCCTCCCACAACCCCTACAGTCATCCTCTGTTCTCCATATTTAAGAGTCTTGGGGTGCATGTGCCCCTTCGAAACAGCATACCTGTATCTCTTGGATAAATACCTACTAGTGCAATTGCTGGGGTAGTTCTATTTTTAATTTTTTGAGGAAACTCCGTACTGTTTTCCAGAGCGGCTGCACCAGTTTGCATTCCCACCAGCAGTGCAAAAGAGTTCTCCTTTCTCCGCATCCTCACCAACATCTGTTGTTGCCTGAGTTGTTAATGTTAGCCATTGTGACAGGTGTGAGATGGTATCTCATTGTGGTTTTGATTTGTATCTCCCTGATAATGAGTGACGTTGAGCATTATTTCATGTGTTGGTTGGCCATCTGGATGTCTTCTTTGGAGAAGTGTCTATTCATATCTTTTGTCCATTTCTTCACTAGATTATTGTTTGAGAGTTTGATACGTTCTTTATAGATTTTGGATACTAACTCTTTACCTGGTATTTCATTTGCAGATATCTTCTTCCATTCTGTCAGTTGCCTTTTAGTTTTGCTGATTGTTTCCTTCGCTTTGCAGAGGCTTTTTATTTTGATGAGGTCCCAATAGTTCATTTTTGCTTTTGTTTCCCTTGCCTCTGGAGACGTGTTGAGTAAGAAATTGTTGTGGCCAAGGTTAAATAGGTTTTTGCCTACTTTCTCTTTGTGGATTTTGATGACTTCTTGTCTTACATCTAGGTCTTTCATCCATTTTGAGTTTATTTTTGTGTATGGTATAAGAAACTGGTCCAGGTTCATTTTTCTACATGTCACTGTCCAGTTTTCCCAACACCACTTGCTCAAGAGACTGTCCTTATTCCATTGGATATTCTTTCCTGCTTTGTCAAAGATGAGTCAGCTGTATGTTTGTGGGTCCATTTTTGGGTACTTCTGTTTATAATTCATCTTTTGTTTCTGGCCTTCGGCTTCAAATGGCACAGTGGTTCGAATACTAGAGTTTGTACTTTTTCTCTCTCCTCTTCTATTAGAATGAAGACTTTCTGAATCTTAATATTATTCTTCAGGTCTTCAATAAAATTATATGTATATTATGCATATATCCAAGTAGCATCTTTCCTCTGCCCCCCCATTCAATTTGTGGTATTTAAAACACATTTACAGGTTATCTTTATATAACCAAGCCCTTGTCACTGAAATCTGGAATCAGACATATGACTCTGCTCTCATGGTGTGTGGAGCACGAACCCTGGGGCAAACTTGCCTGAACAATGAATTGTGTCTTGTTGTTTGTTTCTGGCTAGATCTAATGGTCCAGTGGGAAGAGACTTGAATTGGAGAGCAAGTCAGGAATCTTAGATCTGAATTCTGGCTTTACGACCCAGAATGATCTTAAGCAGGTCCGTCATTTGTGAATTTCTTGGCTGTGTGGATAGGAGCATAAGTGAAATAATAATGTAAATGCACTTTGCATCCTGTAAAGTGCTATTTAGCTATTGAATATGTAGAGTATATGTGTGGGGAGTGCCTGGGTAGCTCAGTATATTAAGCATCTGATTCTTGATTTCAGCTCAGATCACGATCTTGCAGTTGTGAGATCCAACCCCATGTCAGGCTCTTTGCTGACAGTATGGAGCTGGCTTGGGATTCTCTCCTTTCTCTCTCCCTCTCTCTCTGCTCCCCCTCCCTGTTCACACCCATGCTCTCTCTCTGTCTCAAAATAAAGAAATAAACATTAAAAAATAACAAAAACAAAATGTAGGGTGGTGTTATTATTTATTTTGGAGACTTGTTTCTATAGTTAAAGACTTTTTTAAAAATTTTTTTAACTTTTATTATTGAGAAAGAGACAGAGCATGAGTGGGGGAGGGGCAGAGAGAGGGAGAGACACAGAATTGGAAGCAGGCTCCAGGCTGTGAGCTGTCAGCACAAAGCCCGTCATGGGACTCAACCTCACAAACCATGAGATCATGACCTGAGCCGAAGTCAGATGCTTAACTGACTGAGCCACCCAGGCATTCCTATAATTACAAACTTCTAAGTGTATAACTGATTATATGAAGTTAGTGGGGTAGAGATATCAGCACAAATTCCCTCTTGTCTCTGTTTCCTTCTCTGTCCCACCTGAATGGTGGACTTCCTCACTTCAGCTACTCTCTTAGCAATATTCTCCACCATCCTTGTTTTCTACCTGCATCTCTGACCATTCCTTCTAAGTTGCTTTATCCAGATCAATCTCCCCTTCTTGGAAGTTATATTAGTCATGCTTGTCTCTGTTCTAGACACTTCTCCTCTCATTTTATACCTTCTCTAGGCTATCTCATATAGCTTCACTTCTTCAATAACCAGTTGAATTTCTAATGACTTCTAATATTGTATCTTCAGTCCAGACCTCTCTTCAGTTCAAGACCTTATACTAGATTGCCTACGAGACATCTTCACTTGCCCGATTCACAAGGACCTAAAGCTCAGGATGTCCAACCCTGTGCTTGGATCTAAACCCGTCTCCCAGGGCTTCCTGTCTGGCTGAATGGAATGTCATCCAGAACAGTTGCTCAAGCCAGAAATCTAAGAGTTATTTTTGGTAACTCCCTCTTTCTCTTTTCCTTCCTCCAACCCATCAGTAAGTCATTTTGACCATGTGGATAGTACCTGTTTAATAGTTCTTGAATCCTCCCATGCTGTATTTCCACTACCGTGCTTGAGTTCAATCTATAGTCATTTCTTGCATGAACTATTGCCCTGACCACCTAACTGGTATCTTACACAATCTCATTTGCCTTCCTCCAATTAATTTTCTACAGAACAATCAGAATGTTCTCTTCAGACAGAAATCATTACAGCATTCCTCTTCTTAAAATTCTTCAACAGCTTCTCATTGCCTTTAGGCTAAAGTAACAGGTCTTAGTTCAGTCTGGCTCATGCCCACATCTCCGGATTTCTCTCCATCTCTTCCCATCATTCCCTCCTCATCTCCTGCAATGTGTCATAGTCTCTTGCACCGCAAGGCCTTTCTATGTGCTGTTCCTTCTGAAAGGGACGCTTTTACACTCTTCTCCCCTAAACACACTGGCCAAGTGGTATTTACCCTTCAGATCTGCATGTAAAAGTCACTATTATTCAGGGAAACTTGTCCTGACACCCTGCCCCCCATTATATTGTTCCCTGTTGATGTCTTTTGCATTTGTGATTATTTATTCAATACCTGAATTTCATGCTATACTATGAACACTGTAAACAGAAGGACTGTCTGTTTTGTACATTGATGTACTCCCAGCCTGAAACAAAGTAAAGAAAGCAGTTCACAAACATTTTTTGAATAAGTGAAAACTTTTATTTGGAGAAGTTTTATGAATAGGAGTGATTTGTAGCCCTTGATGGGGAAAATATTCTGCCTGATAAGATGTTGAATGATTTTTCCCTTGTCCTTATTCCTGTCTCTAAGAAAGGGATTATGTACCTGAATGAACTTACAAACTCTTCAATAAATAGCTCCAAGATGGTTTTCATTCCAAACATGAGAATCTGATACTGAAGTGGTGAATTTAGATGAATGTGGATGCTATGAAGTGGTTTTGATTCCTTGTTTGTCTCTGTAATGGAAACTAATTTATCTTTCTCTTAGATAAATACAGATCTTAGGAAATAATACTTTTCATTTTTTTTTTTTTTTTGAGAGATGATAGTGTGCAAGCCAGGGGGAGAGTGGCTGTGGTGGGTGGGGGAGAAGAGAGAGAGAAAGAAAGGGAGAGAGAGAGAGAGAGAGAGAGAGAGAGAGAGAGAGAGAGAGAGAATCTAAAGTAGGCTCCACACTCAGCACAGAGTCTGACCCAGGACTTGATCCCACTACCCTCAGAGCATAACTCAAGCTGAAATCAAGAGTCAGAGTCAGATGCTCAACTGATTGAGACACCCAGGCACCCCAGCAAATAATACTTTGAGAACAGTTAAATGAGAACATTTTGGCCAATTCCTCGGGCTCTGTTCTACACATGTTCCATTCAGAAAGATCTTAGTACTTCCTCTGGTGCTTATTCCTTTTTAAAAGCTGAACTCAATAACCTTACACATTTTAATTATTTTTAAACGTTCCCTCATTCTTTAGTTATTACATTTTTTAATACTTAAAAAACTTTTTTAATGTTTTTATTTATTTCTGAGAGAGAGAGAGAGAGAGACAGCGTGAGCAGGGGAGGGTCAGAGAAAGGGAGATACAGCTGAGCTAGCTGTCAGCACAGAGCCTGACGCAGGGCTCAAACCCACGAACTGTGAGATTATGACCTGAGCCGAAGTCGGACACTTAACCAGCTGAGCCACCCAGGTGTCCCTATAGTTATTACATTTAAATAGAATATTCTTTATGGTTATTACAGTTAAGCACGATGCTAAGTTCAGAGATATTTTGGAGAAGTTTGAAGAGTGACTAATTGTGTTGCTTCAGTGTCAGAATGTATACAATCAGATTTTATGTTCTTAAAACATTTCTGCCAAATTTAACTATGTTGCATAGGTTTATGTATTAGTTATTGTATGAGTTACCTATTGGTGTACAACAAATTATGCCAGAACTTACCAGCTTAAGATAACATTTATTATCATAGTTTCTGTCAGTCAGGAATCTGAGTGTGGCTTAGCTGGGTGCCTCTGGTTCAAGGCCCATCATGAGGTTACAGTCAAGCCAAGGACCTGGGCTGTGGTAATCTCATGGCTTTACTAGGCCTCAAGTGTTAGTGCCTAAGCTCACACATGTGGTCATCAATAGACCTCAGTTTGGCTTCCAAACTCGGTTACTCATGTGGGCCTCCTCACAACATGGCAGCTGCCTTCCCTCATGGCTAGGAGAGAGCAATGTGAACACCCAAAACAGAAACTGCAGGTTTTTTTTATAGCTTGGTTTTGGAAATGATACCACCTCTGCTATATACTCCTGGAGGGAAGTGATTCACTAGGTCTAATCCATACTCAAGGAGAGGGGATTACACAGGGCATGAATACTAGAAGCGGAATCATTGTAGGTGATTAAAAAAAATTTTCTTTGAACGTTTATTCATTTTTGAGAGACTGAGTGTGAGTGGGGGAGGCGCGCGCGCACACACACACACACACATACACACACACACACACAGAATCTGAAGCAGGCTCCAGGCTCCAGGCTCTGAGCTGTCAGCACCAAGCCCGATGTGGGGCTCAAACCCACAAACTGTGGGACCATGACCTGAACCGAAGTTGGACACTTAACCAACTGAGCCACCCAGATACCCCAATTGTTGGCCATTTTAGATGCTCCATATAGGACACACACATTCACACAAACACCAGTATGGACTTAATTGTATGTCTCCCCTGAATTTTTATGTTGAAGTCCTGATCCTCAGCAGCTGTAAATGTAACCCTTGTTTAGAGATAAGGTCTTTAAAGAGGTGAAGAGGTTAAAGTGAGATCTTTAGGGTGGGAGATGGTCCAGTATGAATGATGTCCTTGTAAGAAGAGGAAATGCATGTGTATGTGTGCACAGAAAAAGACCGTGTGAAGACTCAGTGAGAAGGTAGCCTTCTCTAAGCCCAGGGGAGAGGCTTCAGAGAAAACCAAACCTGCCCACACTTTGATCTTGGACTTGCCAGCCTCTAGAACAGTGAGAAAATAAATTTCTGTTGTTTAAGCTACTGGTCTGTAGTATTTTGTTATGGCGGCCCTAGCAAACTAATATACAGGTATATAGTATTTTTAAAAGAAACAGGTCTTCATAGTTGTTTAAATGTCATGGTAATTGGAATGTATCTTTTTTCCGCCCTTGAAATTACAGGAGCAGAGTTCCTTTAGTTGGGACTGGGGGCCATCCTTTCCTACCCAGGGCATCTGGAAAGATGTCAGAATCGAAGCCTATAATATTTGTCATCTGAACTTCTTCATGTTTTCCCCTATCTTTGGTAAGCTAAGAGATGTGATTTCTTTTTTTTTTTTTTTTTTTTTTTGAGCCTCCTCTATGTTATAAGAATTGGGTTTATAATCTGAAGACATAGATATACTTTCCAGAGATTCATTTAAAAAGAATTTGGGTGACACATTAAATTTATAAGCATGAAAAATATACACAGACTGTGATTTGTCATGAAAATTTACAGTATAAAGCAGGAAGGAGGTAGATATTTTTAAACATATTTTGAAAAGAAAACGAGAGAAAGCAAGAGCAGCTCTGGGTTTTTCTGAGCTACGTTTTCCTTCTAAAAGGTTTGCTTGTCTTGTGTGCCTCTCTGTGATCCCTGGTCCCCCTTTGAGAACTCAACTGTGCCCAGGTCTTGATTTACTTCAATCACTGGGCTGCCTTTCTGCCACTGCACGCTTTCTTCTCCGAAGGCCATGCCATACCAGCCTTCTTAAGAGTTGAAAATAAACCAGACCACACACAAAGCATAAAGAAAGTTTTGTGAGATAAAGAATACTACTTTCTCAGCCGAAGGAATGATTCCCAGACAGGAGCATTGAATAAAACGTCAGAAATCTCACTGATGTCAATGAATCCGTGAAAAGCCAGTCAGATATTTTTGTTGAGTTGTTTGCCCTGCACTGTGTTTGTTTGGCACAGAAAGGAACTAGAATTAGTATACTCATGCCTGCACGAGTAAGGGAGATAAGGTAAGGGAGGGGAGATATAACAGTTACCACACCAAACAAGACTGTGTAATAATCCTTGTGGGATGAGTCCCCAGTAGTTTAGGAAATCAAAGATCAGTGAGGATTTGAGAAGTCAGGGAAATTGGTGAAGGGGGATCTTGAATGATACGCCACGATGCTCTGTCCAGTTACACGCAGACCTAACTGGATGGAATCTGCAAGCAAGAATGTGGCGTTGTGTCCGTGCAAGAGTCCTGGTGACCCGACGTTGCTATTTCATCAAGCCAAATCGTTTTTCTAAAGGCGGAAGACAAAAAAAAAGCAAATCAGAGATGGTCGATAGTTGAGGTTATTAGTGCTGCTGGCATTTGTAAGTGGTAAAAAGGCACGAAAAGATGCAGTTTAGCCTGCGTGTGTAAATGTGGCCATCCACAGCTCTCTAGTTTAATGCTTCTGAACTATTCAGAGGTGTAACTTGAACTGAGTTCTCCTACTAAAATCAAAGGATGATTCATTCTTTCCCATCCCCACCAATATTTTTTTCTCAGATATATAATAAAATCTAGTGTGAGGAGAGGTCTGATTTCGCAGGAAGTTTTTATTTCATTGTTTTGAAGCTTAATCAGTGTTTTGGGTGGTTTGCAAAAAGTGCTATGAGTTCTAAATACTCTGGTACTTGAAAATGTTTGAATAACACTGCTCTAGTTTACTTTAAAAATTTGAATATGAAGCTAAACATTTCTTCCTGAATATGAGTCATTAGAGTTCAGTTTATTAGTCACTAGTGACTGGGTCAATTTTATGTGGATTAAATCAATTTAAATGAGGTTTAAAATTTAACTTAGATTCAGTGTAATCAATTCCCCATATCAACTACGTTTTTCCTATTTTGTTACTGCAGAACTTTTTGTACTTAACATGTAGAAAAATGTTTCCTTTTCACAGGATATGCTCTGTGCATATCAAGCAGTAATTATATTTCTGATTAATTTTATAGACTTCAATTTGGTTATTTGATGTAATAAAGACAATTGAAGATAACATGTAAAATGAGGTGAGGAACTTCCTTTAGGAATTTTTTTCAGATTTTTTTTTGCAGTTTTTTTGAAAGACAGCAGTCATCACTGAAATCAACAGATATTTAAAAGTTGAAAAATAATGGGGTGCCTGGGTGGCTATGTTGGTTAAGTGTCTGACTTCGGTACAGGTCATGATCTCATGGCTAGTGAGTTTGAGCCCTGTGTTGGCCTCTGTGCTGACAGCTCAGAGCCTGGAGCCTGCTTGGGATTCTGTGTCTCCTTCTCTCTCTGCCCCTCCCCTGCTAGTGCTCAGTCTCACTCTCTCAAAAATAAATAAATGTAAAAACAAAATTTTAAAAACCTATTAGAAAATATTTATTTGAATAGTTCCTCCTTAGCCCTGAAATATTCTAATTCAGTTTTTTTATTATTAAAACTTTTTTTTTTCAATGTTTATTTTTTTGAGAGAGAGAGAGACTGTGTGAGCAGGGCAGGGCCAGAGGGAGAGGGAGACACAGAATCCAAAGGAGGCTCCAGGTTCTGAGCTGTCAGCACAGAGCCCGACGTGGGGCTTGACCTCACCAGCCCTGAGATCATGACCTGAGCTGAAGTTGGACGCTTAACCAACTGAGCCACCCAGGCACCCCTCTAATTCAGGTTTTAATAGCAGTAGCTGTTCTAGGCACCCACATTTTTAGTGTTCTGGACAGTGAAAGATTGACCCTGGTACAGAAAAGGGAAGCTCAGATGTTTTTACTGGGTGCAGAAACCCAGCAAGATTCTCCTGTTCTTTTCTCTAGGGAAGGAGTGGAAGAATGACCCCATCTGCTGGGGGAGGGGTGGGGAAAGTCTGGCTGGACTTGGGTTTCTCCTTCCAAGGCTGGACTTTGGGAGGAGAGTTAGGGAAAAGATAGCTGGTAGGGGTGGGTGGATGCCCCAGTTCGAAAGATTAGGACATTTATAAGCAAATAATCTGGCCCAAACTGCAGGCCCTGTGTGGTGGTGGTGGTGTTGGTGGTGGTGTGAGTGAGAGAGAGACAGAGAGAGACAGAGACAGAAAGTGGGGGAGAGAGAGATACATGTATTTATTTATTTATTGATATAAATAATAATGTAAATAATATTGTTAAGTCTTACATATTTATAATCTATTGTGAATTGTTCACATTATGCCCTAAAATATACTAGGGAAGGATGATTCGTGTAGTTTTATGAGCTTTTTATAAGCTTACATCAACACAGTAAATCCAAATATATAATAAGTATGTTCTGATGAAATGCTACATTGTTTAATCTGTTGTTACCACAGTCAGAAAGAAATAGCACAGAGATGTTCTCAACATGTGAACCCTCCTCTTGAGCTGAGGTGAGCTGTGGATCTTTGACCTGTGCTTAAGCACTCCTGCTGTGCCCACACCCCCACCCTGTGATGCTGCCTTCTCCCACCCTATCCAAATTTACTTGCTGCCTAAGCCTAAAGCACCCCCTCCTTCATACTCAGAAACCTGGCCTTTGAATTGGAGAAGTGAGTTTAGCTTTCAGCTTGACCCGGCCTGCCCAACAGAAGCCTGCATTGAAGGTCATTGCTGCCCTTTGCCCATAGTGAATATAATATTACAATAAAGCAAAGTTTGTCAATCTTGGTTAATGCCTTGTTTGATGCATTTATTTTGAATCAGTTTTTCATTCATCTTTGAGTTACTTTACCCATCAAATAACAGCATTTACCCTTGAAAATATCTTTATGGGTAGGTAGGTTGCTTGAGTAATCTCTCTGTAATTAGCTACCTTGTTGCCTGAGTAGATTTTTTTCCTCTGGAATTTACCAATTTATCCTTGTTTGGGGGAGATTCTGCTTTGTGTCTCTTTTGCTTTAGTTTCATTTTCGAGGATTTTATCCTGCTGAATAAGCAAGGAGATCTTGCTGCTTGGGAAAACAGCTGTTGTAACTAACTGAGCCTGCCTTTTTGGCTAATGCAAGCTGTTCGCTCTTTGAAAAGCAGCTGCAGAAGGCTGTCCTATAATCCTAGCAGGAACACAGGAAAATATCCTATGTTTGAATTTAAACATTCGGTGGCTTGGTCATTTCAGCCTGTCATCACTGTTTCTTCACTGCAGCTTTTCATCACCTATTAAAGATGCAAGGAGCAAGTGGGCAGAAGGAGGAGCTGTTAGATGCTCAGCAGGGTGAAGCTAATCAAGGCAGCTATCTTTGAATAGCTTTCTCCTCCCAATGAGATGAAACATTGTGTTTCATCTTACATAAGCAACCTCCCATCCTTTGCAGATCCTTCCCATGCTGACCCGAATGTGCTTCCATTTCATTGCTAGTTCTTAACCCCCCAGATGACATCGTGTATTCCTAACCGTGACCTGTGGGTATATTTTGTTTCTCTAGGTAGGTTTAACATCTTGCTTTTCTGGGTCGGGGTATAATTTACAGGGCCTGTCAAGGTCTACAGACAGTACATATTCAAGAAATATATTTCTACTGTTTGAGGCTCCCATAACTGTTGTCATGCTTTTGTGAGCTAGTTTAGGTTACAAAGATGGTATTTTGGCAAATGGAGGAACTGTGGCAACATATGATTATGATTTAGGAGAGGGTTAGATGCATTTACTCTGTGTTTGTACATTTCAGTGTTCTTTTTCACAGACCCTTTTTTATTAAGAGCCTAATATTTTAATGTTACATTCGCCTCCAAATGCTTTGTTTCACATTGAATGTATTTGATATTTGGACTCAAGATTCTGAAAGGCTTTGCTTTTTTTTAAATCATTTTATTTTTTTCATTATGATAAGTGTACTCTTTAATCCCCATCACCCATTTCACCCATTCTACCCCCCCCGCCATCAGTTTGTTTTCTATAGTTAAGAGTCTGTTTCTTGGTTTCTCTCTCTCTTTTTCCTTTACTCATTTGTTTTGTTTCTTAAATTCCACATCTGAGTGAGATCATATGGTATTTGTCTTTTCCTGACTAACTTATTGAGCTTAGCATAATGCTCTCTAGCTCCATCCATGTTGTCACAAATGGCAGGAGTTCATTCTTTTTTATGGCTGAGTAATATTCCTGTGTGTGTGTGTGTGTGTGTGTGTGTGTGTGTATGAGAGAGAGAGAGAGAGAGAGAGAGAGAGAGAGCACCTCTTTATTCATCTATTGATTGACACTTGGACTGCTTTCATAGTTTGGCTCTTGTAAATAATGCTGCTGTAAACATAGGCGTGCATATATCCCTTTGAACTAGTGTTTTTGTGTTTTTTGAGTAAATACCCAGTAGTGTGATTCCTGGATCA